CCAGCCTCTCCCGTGGCCATGGCCCCTGTTCCTGCCCCAGCCTCTCCCATGCCATGGCCTCTCTTCCTCTCCATGACCATGACCTTGGCTCCCCAGACCTCCTTCTTTGGCTGTGGCTGCCGATGCCTGAGCTGATTGCTATAGCCTTGAATGTGTCCCCATCTGCTCCTGGGCTGTGACCATTGTCAAGGCCCAGCTTGACCTGCGCCTTGGTTGTGGGTAGGCCTGACTATGTCAGTGCCCTGCTCACACTTCAGTGCCTCTGCAGGTGACACAGACTCCAAGACATCCCCCATTCCCAGACAAGGTGGCCAAAATCCAGCTCAGAAGTAGAAATCTGACCAGACTGCTCTTCCCAGATAAAAAGGCTCAGCACCAATAGGCATGGGGTGCTGCTGGCCTCTAGGCATGGGCTCTGGGGTGCTGACCCACAGGCACTCAGGAAGGCCTGCCTTCTCGAGATCTGGCAGGAGCCCAGAAGGCTGGGCTCTCCCTGAGCCACTGTGATGGTCCTGGGTGCTGGAGGGTGTCCTGCCACGGGAAGGGTGGTGAGCCCAGCCCAGGGCTTGCATCTGAGGGTGGGCATGGAGGGACAGGTGGCCTGCCAGCCTTACCTCCGGTGCACGACGTAGGTGACTGCAGAGGCGAGAAGGCAGAGCAGCATGACGGCAGTGCAGGCATACACCACGGGGTGCAGGAACTCCCCTGGGAACCGGGGCAGGGACAGGACAGTCTTCAAATCCTGGAGAGGAAGCAGAGGAGACCCATGGGACCCGAGGCCAGGCGTCTGAGAGTGGCTGGTCACGAGTCGGCCTCCCATGCCTATGGCTCAGGCATCTGACTGACCCCCAGTACGTCTGCTAAGGGGTCGATGGTAGCTGAGAAGACCCTGCCCAGGGGCTCATGAAAGAGTTCTATAGCCGCCTGCTGCCCACGGGCTAGATCTTTGTCTCCCCAGCTCTGATGGGCTGAGGCATTCTATGTCTTTGACAGTGGCTCCCAGAGGGTGGCATTTCTCCAGAGCCAATGCCTGCATCCCGTTCTGTCCAAGGTGACTGGCAAAGGCAAAGTGTGACAGTCCAGACATGGGGTGTCCCCCAGAAGCTCAGGTGTGAGACGGTGCAAGAATGTTCAGAGAGGTCTGACCTAATCCACTGACGCAGACTAGCTGGGTGGTGACCACAGCAGGTGGGTTGTGTCTGGAGGAAGTGGGCCGCTGGGGCGCGTGTTTGGGGTTTATATTTTGTCTCTGCTTCCTGCTGCCATGCCCTGAGCTGCTCTCCTTGGCCTCGCCCTTCTAATACGATGTTCTGCCTCACTGGGGCCCGGAGCCATGGAGTTGGCCAACCAGGGACAGAACCTCTGAAACCCTGAGCCCAAATAAATGCTTCCTCCTCTGCATTGTTCTCTTTTGGTCATAGCGATGCAGAACTGAGTGACGCAGGCATGGTGCTGGCCTCCACAGCATGCGTCTCCTTGCAGACGCCCACTGTGTCTCAGTGGACCTTACAGAGAGGCTACCCCAACCCACCCCTGGACTCACACCCACCAACGCTCTGTTCTTAACCATCCCTCAGGAGCTGGGTGCACGTGTCCATAGGTCTGTGTAGTGTCCACCCCAAGTACATGGAGGAAGAAATGTTCCTGTGGACAAATACACAGGGGACCGAGGCCCTGGCTCATCTGGTGTCCCTGACTCTACTGTGCATGGCCACAGAGCCAAGGGCTCACGGTGCAGTTCCCAGGTGAGCGTGACGTGCCTGTGCTGGAGAGAACTGACCATCCTGGTAGAAATATTTGGAGCTGATGGAGGTTTCCTTCTCCTTGGCCCCCATGTGGCATCCTGTTCTGGGCAAGTCTCAAGGCATCTCTAGGGGGCTACATGCTGGCCAGGTGGCAGCTGCCTCTGGTGCTCACTGTCCTGCCCCCTGCCTCCCAGACGGCTGGCATGGGCAGTGCAGGGCGTCTGTCGAGGCACAGGTGTAGATGGGGCAGAACATCCATGACTCTGGGGGCTCAGGGCTGTAGAACTCTTGGCTCCATGCAGCAGTCGTCCTGCCAGATGGCAAGCTCATGAGATTACCTGGACACTCCAGCCTCAGCACAGGGTCACTGTGGCCTGCACCATCTCCACTGGAGACCTCAAGGCTCACCTGCTCCTGACTGACCAAGAAAGGGGGGTAAGCCCCATCCTGGCCTTCATGCACCCTCACCCCAGAAGGCTGTTCCAGGACCTGGACACACTCTGCCTGAGTGGGTCTGGCACTTGCTGGGTGTGGGTGTTGGAGGAGGTAAGTGGTTGGAGGAGCAGTGGGACCGGCTATTTCCCCATGCAGAGTTTGTAACTGGTCCTCTCTTCCTGGACACTGATCAGGCTCAGCTCTGAGACTGCTCTGGATACTTGGCCCTGAGGGTTGAAAAGGGAGGGCTGGCTGGAGACTCCTGGCCTCCCCGTCCCCTCTGAGGAAAGCAGAGGTGGAAGGGCCATCTGGGTCTTCTGAGTTCCCTGGGCCCAAGTGTCAGGAACCTCCTGTAGCTCAGAGGGCTGAGGGCCCGGTCAGGATCCATCAGGGTGGAGAGCTGCCTCCTCCGGGACACCCGGCCTGCTGGGACGCTCACGCATCTCTTGGTGCCCAGCCTCTGAGTTGGCTGTGGGTGATGGGGACCCTCCTGCCATCTGGGGAAGGCCAAGGCTGTTCTCCTGTGCCTGTCACAGTTCAGCTGCTTCCTGTGAAGTGGAGACAGCTCCGTCCTGGAGACATCCTGTTAAGTTGTCTGATGAGTTCTCTGCTGAGAGGGGGCTGCCCCTGAGGGCTTGGGAACAAGAGGTCCGCTTGGGCACAGGGACGGCTGGCTCTTCCCTCCCGTGACAGGGCCCCTTGGCCGCTGTTGCTGGCTTCACACCCATGCCTGGGGGCTCTTGAGTCCTCCACGGCCTTCCTCAGGGGCCAGTGTCACTGCAGTGGGACATGTGGTGGCAAGCCTGCCTGCTGGTCTCACACCCCTGCTCGGCCGTGTTGGGGGAGGGGCACAATCACAGCATGCAGAGGGCTCATTTTGGCATCTGAAGCAGCGTGCCCTCCTGTCCCTTTCCTGTCCCATCACATCTGTCCCCAGGGCCCATGAGGCACTTGCATTTGAACACACCTTATCTGTGGTTTCAGGTCACATGGCTATGGCAGGCCACATTAGAAACTGGACAGGCTGACCTCTCAGTGAGCCAGCTCAGGACATGGGGGTGTTTGTAGGAGCATCAGCTAGGCTGGGGCATGTAGCTTGGAGGCCACCAGGCTGGGTGGGGGCCGGCCTCTCTCCTGGGGACCCAGGGGGTGAGGCATAGAACAGGAGCAGGCCCCAGGGCCCCAGGTGTCACCTTGGGCTTCCACTACAGGCAGCTCACTGGGGTCAACAGTGAATTTCCTAAGGAACTAGGATTTGATTTGGTTTCCTGTGTTTTTCTTTCTCCAAATTAGTTACGGCAGTGCCTTTCTACATGTTCAGAGTTGGCATTTAAAATTCAAAGTAGCTGATGCAAAATAGAGTAACATTTTATATTTCAAAGTTCACACATGGGCAAGTTCCTCTTGGAAGAGTTCACTGTGCAAACGTTCTTTGGGCACAACCATGACGCCGATCCCACGTGCGTTGGAATCTGCACGGCTTAGGTGCATGAGTCCTCTGATGCCAGGGAGCTGGAGCCCTCTTGGTGCAGTGACAGTGAGCCAGCTCAGCTCTCAGGTCAGAGACTGGGGGACAGCAGGAGAGCCTCTGGGCCGGGAGGGGAGGGACCAAGGCCCCCAGCCTTCTCGGCCCTGACGAGAGGCCTGGAAGTCTGCTGGTCTCTGTGCCTGAAGGAGGGCAGGCTGCTTCAGAGGCCACCGAGGAGGTGCCTCTGTTCCTTGGGAAACACGGAGTCCCCTGGCCCAGTGGGCTGCATGCCTGACAGTCTCAGGGACGTGCCCACCCTGTCGTGAGCAGATTGTACCCCTTTCCCAACCTCTTCCAGCTCCCCTTATGTAGGTGGACACAGCCTTTCTGGTGTGTTCTGTGTTGGACGGTGCAGGGTGTGGAGGAAGGCAGGAAGAAGGGCGAGGATGGGAGGAAGCCCTCAGTCAGGCACATGCCCATCCTCCGCTCCAACTGCACCCTCCTGGTGACCGGTGGGGAAGTGAGCACCACACCTGGGGACAAGGCCCCTCTCCAGCACCCTTCCTGTGCAGCGAGCACCCGAAGCCAGGCCTTCTGTCAGCTGCCCTGTCCTTCTTCCACCCTTTCCTCCTCTTCTTCCTAGCTTTTCCTGGGTCTATGCAGACTCAGACCATGGCCATCAGGACCTGACGTGTCCCGTGTGCCTCTTTAATGACAACTGCATCTTATTGAGCAATCACGCTTTCATGAAAAGGTTTTGGTGACAGCTGGAAGATGAGTGATTTGTTTGTTCTTAACACAGATCACCCTGCCTGGATGTCATGCAGGCATCGTTTGTCATCGTTCATGTTGGAGGGGTACAAGGGACCCTGAGATCACACACAAAAAAAGGTCGACCACACCGTGGGGACTTCCCTCCTGGACTGGTGGATACTCGCTGAAAGTCCAGGATTTAAGGGGCAGTGTGAGGTGGGATGACACTCTCACCTGAGATCAAGGTACATTTTGAAGTTTTTAGACTGGAGAGAACAAAAAGCAGCAAGCCAAAGAGAACCTGCCAGAGTTCTGGAATGTTGGCGGGGTGTGGCAGGAGCGGGGAGGCTTTCCTTGCACCCCAGGCTGGGCTCAGTCTGCTGCTGCTGGGTCAGAAGGTCTGTAATGCTGACAGAGGGTCTTTTATGTGCCTGTCCAGGCTCCTTCCCATCCCCTCAGCGCCAGAGGGGGACATACCATCACAGGTGTAGCTCACACCTTCTAGGAGCTTAGAGCTTAGAGCTTAGAGCTACCACCTACTGTGGCCCCGGTCCCAATTCTCGATTTCTCCCAGAGCTGACTTCATGCAGAGAAGGCCTCAGGCAGCTTCAGAGTTCCCCATCCACCTGGGGCACAGCAGGGAAAGAGGCATTGCCCTGGGCTTCACCGCAGGGCTGAGTTGAAGGCCTCTGTGCTCCATCCCTGCCTTTGGGATCTTGACCCCATCAGGTCTGTTTTAGACTGGGCACTTCTGCATGGAGGGGAAGAAGGACTCCAAGAGGTGCTTCAAAAGCACCATGTGCTGGATCCTCCACTCCAGGCAGGGGCTAGGCAGGTCTGGCCTCCAGCTCCGTCATGGCTCTAGGGGCCCTGCTGAATGTGGCAGAGGACCCTTCCAATGACAGCCCCGAATCCCGAGCAAGTGGGGGTAGAGTGAGTCCTCAGTGAGTCCTGCTGCTGCTTCAATTCTTGGCACCAAAACCAAAGCAAAGCCACTGACACCAGATGCTGTGCCACCGTTAGCAGACGAAAATCGGATGAGAGCCCAAGCCAGTCCAAAGGCCCCACCTGACCGTGCCAGTAAATCCTGTGGCTGCGCCTCACCAGCCCACACCAGCAAAGCCTCCTCATATTCCCCACCAGCACGTGCAGTGCTGTCGCATGTACACCACGCTGAGTGCACGCAGCCCATGGCCCATCCCCTAACCCCACAGCCCACCCCCTAACCCCCACAGCCCGCCCCCAGCCCCGAGGGCCCACAGACACCGTCCTATGCAGGTCGCAGGGCCCTACATGCCACGCCCTCCCACCCTCAGGGTCCTCCACACAGCTCCA